AGTGAATCAATATTTTTATTAAAAAAAATTACATTTTAATTATTTGCTATAAGGATATAATAATGCAACTGATCTTTGTATGCTGCTCACCCAGCAACCATGGTGAACTCTTCTGAGATGGAGTTTGCTCTTGTTGCCCAGGCTGGAGTGCAATGGTACAATCTTGGCTCACTGCAACCTCTGCCTCCTGAGTTTAAGCAATACTGTCTCAGCCTCCCAGGTAGCTGGGATTACAGGAATGAGCCACCATGCTCAGTTAATTTTGTATTTTTAGTAGAGATGGGGTTTCTCCATGTTGGTCAGGCTTGTCTCGAACTCGTGACCTCAGGTGATTCACCTGCTTCTGTCTCCCAAAGTGCTGGAATTACAGGCGTGAGCCACTGTGCCCAGCATGATCTCTTTATTTCAAATAGCTCGCTTTGTGTAATCTGTTGGTTTTTTGGGTTTTTTTTTTGAGATAGGGTCTCGATCTGTCACCCAGTGTAGACCTCCTGGCTCAAGCAGTCCTCTTTGCTCAGGTGCACACCACCACATCTTTTTTTTTTGGTAGATAGGATCTTGTTTTGTTGGTCAGGCTGGTCTGACTCCTGGCCTCAAGCAATCTGCCTGCCTTGGCCTCCCAAAGTGTTGGGAGTATAGGTGTGAGCCACCACACCCAGCTAGGTTTCTTTATAAACAATTGTTTACAAAAAAAGAGAAATGTCTGTCCCTTTGTTTACATTTCTTAAACTATTAATTTATCAAATTTGTTTTCTGCATCTATCAATTCTTTTGGATATTATCAAAAATTTTCCTTCACCTGCTTTCCCCCTTCTGTTAATGTGATAATCTGTAATACATCTGTCCTACTACTAAATAGCCTCCCAGGGTACAGAACAAACTAACTTCATAAACACAAACTTACTGTCTCCAAAGCTATCATCACCTCTTCTAGGCGGGTAGTCATCAAAGCTATCTGTGGCAGGACGAGCCCTCCAGTCTGTATCTGTTTTGTCAGAATCCCGATTTCTATCACGGCCAAAAGAACGATCGTCCCTGTCTAGATACATTAAAACAAAAACCGTAAGTTAGCTCATAAAAACTTGGCCCAATATTTCTCACACACAGAAAACCCCATTTTTACCCTATTTTGCACTTTTATATCACACTGTCATCCCAGTTACCTCAGGCCCCATAAGTACATGCTCCAATTCAACAGGAGTAATTCTTTTCCTCCCATTCTTTCCTACTGGTTTAATGCTTAGCTATATCAAATTCTGTGTAGGACAGGAGTTCCTGAAACATATACAAATTAGGTCCCTTTAGTGCCCAATGTGCTGTTAGACAGCTAACCTACTTATCATATATTTAATGTTCATCTAGTTCAATCAGGGCTTCTCAATCTTGACACGCATTTTGGGCTGTATAATTCTTTATTGATGGGGGTTGTCCTATCCACTACAGAATTAACCCCTGGACTTTATTGTGACAACCTATAATGTCTTCAGACATTGGCAAAAGTCCCCTTTGGGGCAAAACTGGTTGAAAACTGTTACTATAGACTCAGGCAGGCCCACCACTACCCCTATTCAAATTTTCTGGGAAAGGATGCCTTGGTGTCATCCTACCATTACCAAACAGAAATCTCTACCACTTTCCTTACCTTTATCCTGTGCTTGATCAGCAACGTCCACTCGAATTCTCCTGTTACCTAGAGACTGAGAGCATAGGACCATATTAACCAACCTTTTGCCCCATTATGCACAAATCCCTTGAGTGACCTTGAACGTCTGGGCATAGCAGAAGCACTAGGGGAAGGAAGATAAAGGAAAACACTGTAATCTAGCTAACACTCCAATTTGCGGGCTAAAGAGTCCTTTATAAAGACTTAAAAATTCAACAAATTTAAGTTGGCCTTAAATATCAGGTCAACAAACATGCTATTTTTACAAATCTGAATTTTACAGAACAGAATCAACTTTTTAACTATCCAAGGTAATTTGTCAAGTATAGTAAATTAAAAATAATTCTCACATAACTAGCTAAATAAAAGGCATATTTGGTGTCACAGCAATTTTTTTTAATCCAAAATTTATAGAAGCCAGATGTAGTGGCATGTACCTGCAGTCTCAGCTATTTGGGAGACTGAGGCAAGAGGATCACTTGAGCCTAGGAGTTCAAGTCTAGCCTGGGCAATACAGCAAGACCCTGTCTCTTAAAAACAAAAACACCCAACACATTTATAGAGCCCCTCCTAATACTATATTCTAGCAAAATTGCATAAAGCATGCTTTGTCTACAATCTTAGGTTCTTTCACTCAGTATTACCTTTGGATAAGTAAGTTCTTCCAGAGCTACCCTCTGACTGCCCTTTCCCACATCACTTTGAACCCTATTAATTCTATTGCTGATTTTTCCTCATTTCATAGTAGAATCTACAGTTGAAGAAGGATAACAATGATTTTTAGTTAAAAATACCCAAAACTATATTAAACACCACCATAATGAAATCTCTAGTAAAAAAGTAACTCCTAAATATGAACCACAACAATATATTAAGTAATAGTTAATCTAGTAAACTTCAAATAGTAACAATTGCATGGTATTCTTTTTCTTAACCAGACTGAGTAAAGACCGATAATGTTTATAAAATCTAAAAATAATCGAATAAGAGTAACTCTGGAACAAGCTTAGACCTTCATATGCGTTTAAATTTAACTAAGTACATTAATTTTTCGTCTCCATTTCACGCTGACTACAGACTGTCATGACGATACTCAATTATCAGGCAACAAAACTATTCCTAAGAGGTGTTCATTTTAATCATGTCACGTGGCAAATTTGGACTACAGAATTATGGCACAAATGGCACTAGAAATTGCCTTATCGAAAAGCAGTAAGGGGTTCTCAGAATTAAAGGAGGAAGTGTTTTCTCTTCCCAGATATAAGCCTCTCAAGTCCTGGGATGGGAAAACATTTGTGGGCAGTGTTAACAAGCAGAAGGACATGTTTACTGTCACTCTCTATAAAATATTCCTTTGTAGGAAATGTTTCCAAATCCTCTTACACGAACAAAAATACCATGACAACACTTCCTGAAAATGAGACATGCCTTTCAATACTAAACAAACTTTGATTTTTCTGTTTGCCTTTATTAGGTCAGATTACTGTGAAAAAGCAAAGCCATAATTGTTGAGGCAACACTGAGCAAATCAATGTGAGACTTAGAGACCTGGTGTGTGGTGGGTTTCTCCAATTTTCCACCTGAGCACCTCTTTAAATTACTGGGGCCTACTGAATTTGCTTCAGTGTGACTTGCTAGATGTTGAATGTTAAGTGATATAATGTTAAATAATGCAGGCCTTTATTTGCAGAGATGGGAATCTGTGAAGTGAGCCACTCACTCAACCTAAAAAAAATCAGTTGGATAAACATGAGATTTGTGAACTTACACCCCTCATATGCCCACTCTTGTTTTCTTTACCTCTTCATTGAGACTCAGGGCACTAAGCAGGGAATCCAGGTCCTCAAATTCAGCATAACCAAAACCTTTCAACCTCTCTGGATTGCTGGGTTCACGTGGTAAACGCACCGCACTGATCTGAAGGAACAAGAAACAACAACAAAGTTTCCAACATTCTTCTTCATTTGCCATTTTTTGAGGGTACTAAAAAGCATTACGGTATGGGCATGAATTTTTCTGAATACACAAGAACATGGTTGTCTCAGAAGAAAAACTGATGCAGACGTATGGTAGAGACTTTACTAAACGCCCTACTATACCTTCTATATTTTGAATGATACGAATTTAACCCTTAAAAAAAGATATTCGGGCTGGGTGTGGTGGCCCATGCTTGTAATCCCAGCACTCTGGGTGGTTGAAGAGGGTGAATCGTCTGAGGTAAGGAGTTCAAGACCAACCTGACCAACATGATGAAACCCTGTCTCTACTAAATACAAAAACTTAGCCAGACATGGTGGCACATGCCTATAATCCCAGCTACTCAGGAGGCTAAGGGAGAATTGCTTGAACCTGGAAGACAGGGGTTGCAGTGGGCCGAGATTGCACCATTGCACTCCAGCCTGGGCAACTAGAGTGAAACTCCATCTCAAAAAAGAAAAAAAATCCTAAATTCTATTTCCTTTTTTATTTTTGGAAACAGAGTTTCATTCTGTCATCCAGGCTAGAGTACAGTGGTACAATCTCACCTCACTACAACCTCAGCCTCCTAAATAGCTGGAATGATAGGCATGTACCACAACACCCAGCTAATTTTTGTATTTTCAGTAGAGATGGGGTTTCACCATATTAGCCAGGCTGGTCTCAAACTCCTGACTTCAAATGACCAACCCGCCTCGGCCTCCCGAAGTGCTGGATTACAGGTGTGAGCCACTGAGCCTAGCCTTAAATTATATTTCTAATTGTTTTTTTGATGAAGAGGAACTGCCCATTCCACAACTAGTCTTTTTCAGACAATATCCAGTTAAATATTATAACTTTACACTTACATTTAATCCTCTGAAGAATTCCTTAATTGACTCTTCTGTCACATCATAGGGTAGGTTCCCTAGAAAAGCAGTGTAGGGTGGTGATTTGGGAAGACGGCTCCGGTCGATATTGGGTTCCCGAGCAGCCCGTGGAGCAGTGGGAAGGATGGAACGGTCAATTGGAGGCGCCCTATACACATCGTCGTCATTACTGTGCCAAGTTGTTGAAACTAGGATAGAGGAATGAATGTAAGAAATTAGAAGAAACTTCTCTCATTGCTGTCATAGAACAAGAGGACGCATGTTAACTGCAAAGTATTAAACATGCTATATTGGGAAACAGACAAAAAAAGAGTGAGAGTTCAATAATAAGGGCATTTTTAAAAAGATGCTTCTGAGATGAATTATGACACTTTAATCCTTATGTAGCAAAGAAATACTATTCCGTAAATACAACTCTTTATGGAATATTACTGTGTGCCAGGTACTTTATATTCATTATAGCCCATCTTACCTTTTTTTTTCTTTTTGAGACGGAGTTTTGCTGTTGCCCAGACTGGAGTACAGTGGTGAGATCTCTGCTGACTGCAACCTCCACCTACTGGGTAAGCAATTCTCCTGCCTCAGCCTCCCGAATAGCTAGACTATAGGTACACGCCACCACACCCAGCTAATTTTTTGTATTTTTAGTAGAGACAGAATTTCACCATGTTAGCCAGGATGGTCTCCATCTCCTGACCTTGTGATCCACCCACTTTGGCCTCCCAAAGTGCTGGGATTAATTACAGGTGTGAGACACTATGCCTGGCCTGAAACATCACTTTATGAGGACCCCACAGAATTTTAGACCTAGAAGAACTTTTAAAAGATAATCTAGTTCCTACTTTCAAAATGAAGAAAATGAGGCCAAAAAGAATAGTAACTGAAGAAATCTGTTAATTCAAGAACAAGAACTAGCAAAGCTCTCTTAAAATGACCACTTCAGTCTTCACTGCAAAGTCTGATAGCCCAAACCTCTGACCTTAGATTCTATAAACTATGTAAGATTTCAGGTGGTACAGAATGAGTAAGCTCTTTGCAGATTACAAATGGTGTGAATTGTTATGAAACAGGTTTTGTGTAGAAAATAATAAATATTCCAAACATGAGGACAAAAGAAAAATTACCATCTCCTTCCAGGTCATCTGTTTCATCAGCCCAGCTGACTGGTTTGGAAACATAGGTGCTTCCTCCACCAGTTCCCCCATCCTCAGCCAGAAAGTCTGTAAGGGAGATAGTCTTCCCCTTCTTATTCTTCTTTTTTGCTGTTTTAAAAGGCAAGAGAAAGATTATTCACCAACACTCAGGTATTTACAGAATTGTACAATGCAATGTTGTAAAACATATTGAGAAAAAAAGCAACACAGACACTCCCCATAATTTCTTCATAGAAATTATGGCATTTCTATGAAGGGGTACTATGCAGACATAAATAAGGAGAAAGCACAGTATAGTGGCACAAAAAGAAAAAGCAAGCAATAAGTAATTTAAAAGTTATAGAATACTTATGCATAAACACACATTTACATATGGAAAGGGTCCAGTGTCTGAGATACCTCCTAGAAAGTATGACTGGCCTGTGGGGGCAACCTTTTATCTTCTACTATATTCACTCATTTACGATCTTTTAATTTTATAACTACTTCTATTCAGTTACTACCTTCCCTGTTTCTTGGATAAAAAAGATCAATATAAATCCATCTCACATAACACATTCTGTACAGTACTTTTGAGGATTGACACCTGTAAAAAAAAAAAAAACCACGTGAGGAAGAAATCACAACCATCGTTTTTTTTTTTTTTTTTGGAGACGGAATCTTGCTCTTGTCGCTCAGGCTGGAGTGCAGTGGCACGATCTCAGCTCACTGCCACCTCTGCCTCATGGGTTCAAGCAGTTCTCCTGCCTTAGCCTCCCAAGTAGCTGGGATCACAGGTACCCACCACCACCCCTGCTTTCTTTTTTAGTAGTGACGGGGTTTCACCATGTCGGCCAGACTGGTCTTGGACTCCTGACCTCAGGTGATCTGCCTGCCTTGGCCCTCCCAAAGTGCTGGGATTACAGGTGTGAGCTGCCATACCTGGCCCGTTTTTTTTCTTTTTGGAGACAGGGTCTTGCTCTGTTGTTCAGGCTGTAGTGTAGTGGTGTGGCCATGGCTATCTGCAGCCTCAACCCTCCCAGGCTCATGTGATCCTCCCACCTCAACCTCCTGAGCAGCTGGGACCACAGGTGTACACCACCATGCTCAGCTAATTAAAAAAATTTTTTTGTATTCCCTATGTTGCCCAGGCTGGTCTCCTAGGCTCAAGTGATCTTCTGCCTCAGTCTCCCAAAATGCTGGGCTGAGACATGGTACATGGCCACAACTATCAATTTACAGGGAAGGAAACCAAGTCTCAGAGAGGTTAAGTGAAACATTAGATGTTTGTAAAGTTACAGAGACATTAGCTGGCTAAGCTGGAGATAAAACCCAAGTGTTTTTCATACAAAGTCCAGGGCTCTTTCTATATACCAAGGGATCCCTGCCTCTCAGCAGCTTATTATTAGTTCCATGGCAGGTTATCAAAACCATGGTAAAATGTACTGTTACTTGAAAGTGTTCAAATGGTAAGACTCATATACCCCAGATGTCTCTGCCTTCTAGAAAAAATTTCCTTCTCTACCTTAACACGGAATATGAGGATATAATACTAAAAGGAAAATACGACCAGATGTGGTGGCTCACGCCTGTAATCCCAGCACTTTGGGAGGCTGAGGCAGGTGGATCATGAGGTCAGATGTTCGAGATCAATCTGGCCAACACAGTGAAACCCTGTCTCTATTAAAAATACAAAAAATTAGGCCGGGTTCGGTGGCTCACGTCTATAATCCCAGCACTTTGGGAGGCCAAGGCGGGTGGATCACAAGGTCAAGAGATCGAGACCATCCTGGTCAACAAGGTGAAACCCTGTCTCTACTAAAAATACAAAAATTAGCTGGGCATGGTGGTACACACCTGTAGTCCCAGCTACTTGGGAGGCTGAGGCAGGAGAATTGCTTGAACCCAGAAGGCGGAGGTTGTGGTGAGCTGAGATCGTGCCATTGCACTCCAGCCTGGGTAACAACAGCGAAACTCCGTCTCAAAAAAAAAAAAAAAAAAATACAAAAAATTAGCCGGGTGTGGTGGTGTGTGCCTGTAATTCCAGCTACACAGGAGACTGAAGCAGGAGAATCCTGTCAACTGGGAGGCGGAAGTTGCAGCGATCTGAGAACCTGCCATTGCATTCCAGCCCGGGGCCACAGAGAGAAATTCCATCTCAAAAAAAAAAAAAAAAGGCCCAACTTAGTGAACTGACACTGCTTTCTTTGTGGTCCTCAGAACTTCTGAGATGTCACCACCAATCAAGAACTAATTCAGAAGAGCAGAAGGGACTAAGGAAAGTTCCAGAACTGGCCTGAGAGCAGTCACTAGATGATTAAGAAAAAGCAAGCAGCTTTGTTGTAAAAAAAGATCGGTTTCATGGTTTTTATAATCATAAATTTCTCCAACATGTTCTGACTGTCACCTGATTTTTAATTGTTTAACTCAAGGTTGTGTTCTCACTTGGTATCTGATTTTCTTTTAAAATTCAACTCTCAGAAAATAAAGGTAACCAAGTTTGCTATCAATGTTAACACACAGCCTTGTGGACACAATTAGAACCTGATGTATTAAGGTCTGAATATGCAAACTAGATGAATCTGATTAAATAAAAAAAGTTGACCATGAACATGGTAATTTCCATCTCTCTCAAGTGACCTAATTAATCCAGCTCCGAAAGTGTCATTTATAATCAACAAGAACACATTTTGAATCCATCCTACATGCCTCTCCCCCTTTTTTTGCAGTGTTGCAAACGTGGCTCACTGCAGCTTTGACCTTTTGGGCTCAGGCAATCCTCCCACCTTAACCTCCTCTGAGTTGCTGGGTCTATAGGCATTTACCACCACGCCCAGCTAATTTGAAAATTTTTTGTAGAGGCGGGTGTCTTGCTAAAATGCCTAGGCTGGTCTTGAACTCCTTGGCCTCAAGCGGTTCTACTGTCTCGGCCTCCCAAAGTGCTGGGATTATAAATGTGAGCCACTGCACCTGGCATTCTATAGCTTTCAAAGAATATAGTTATGGAGATGTTGGGTCTCATAGCATTTATACTGCTGCAGCTCATATGCAAAATTTTTTTTTGAGACAGAGTCTCACTCTGTTGCCCAGGCTGGAGTGCAGTGGTATGATCTTGGCTCACTGCCACCTCCGCCTCCCAGGTTCAAGTGATTCTCCTGACTCAACCTCCGGAGTAGCTGGGATTACAGGCATGTGCCATCACACCTGGCTAATTTTTATATTTTTAGTAGAGATGGGGTTTCACCATGTTGGCCAGGCTGGTCTTGAATTCCTGACCTCAAATCATTCGCCCACCTCGGCCTCCCAAGGTGTTGGCGTTACAGGTATGAGCCACCATGCCCAGTCTCATATGCAAAGATCTATGGGAGGTTTTAATAAGCTAACATGATTAAGACATGAGGCAAACCACTTACAGTGCATGGACTTAGACTTTTTCATATCCTTTAATTCAAAAATAGTATCTGGAATTTATATGATGCTAGCTAGAGATCCTTACCCTCATGGGGCTTAATCTAGTATCATCATCTAATATCCAATTATTAACCTGTCCTTCCACTAGAAGGATAAAAATAGACCTGGTGGTCAGTACAAACAATGAGGTCAAGTTCAACATAAGAACAGAAGAACCTGAATAAGATAACCTTTTCCTACTTGTTCTATATATGTATCTTATACCCAAACAGCAGAATCTGGAATTAATCTGCCCTTTAGTCTGATCTGGCTTAAATCAACTTTGTAGATCAGCTTCTCAACTCTTACCCCTTGACTCCTTGGACAAACAAGTCTCTTCTTTAATGTTATTTGAAATTTCCAAACAAATTAATTATTATGACTAAAAAATATTAAAACATTGTTAAATCTTAGAATGTCTTTTCAAATCATACATCTCCCCCTCCAGTGACTGCCACCCCTCCCAAGCCCTCTGGTTAAGAAATTACTGTTGGATGAGTCTTAAAAAAAACAGGCTAAAATTCCTTTACAAGATGTTTAGCTTCTTTAACTCTAGCAGCAGCATTGCCTCAGTCATAATATAAGCAGCAGGTTTAAAGGAATTAGCCCTTGAAAAGCAAAATCAATAAATCTAAAGTGGGTGCCTGTGTTTGGTTCCACTCGATTTAATTCCAATAACTGAGAAAAGAAGTTATCTAAATCCTCCATGCCCTTTGCTCCCTCAATACCTAGGCTCATTACATGTTTAGATTTCAACAGTGTTCCCTCTGCTTTATAAGTAAAGCACTGTTTAATGCTCTAGGTTTATCAATCCTTTGCAATTCAATAATGAACAGGTCTAATTCTTTAATTTTCTCTAAATCTTATGTGAACTGGTTAAAACGTTAACAAATCAATCACCTCACGAAACAAAACGCGTCCCAACTATTTATATATGGACTACAGTGGAGAAAACAGACCTCCAGCTCTTTATATACCCCAACAGGTTTAATAAAAGATCTTAAAAACAGAAATATTGGTAAGTCCAGAAGTCCTTAAACAAGAGACAACACATTTGTGATTTTGTTAATAAATAAACAGGATTTGTTATAATAGATACTAAAATAAATGCAGCCTGTTTCTTAAATCAGAGTTTCTCTATTTAGCACTACTGACATTTAAGCTTAGGTAATTTCCTGTCATGGGGGGATCTTTAGCGGTATCTCTCACTCTCCTCATTAGATCCCAACAGCAACTCCCAACCACCATCCCACTGTAACAACCAAAAGTGTCTCTGGACACTGCCAAATACTCTGGAGTGGGTTGGGGGTTTAGGATGAAAAGATTTTCCCTCAGGGGCCAGGTGAGGTGGCTCATGCACTTTGGGAGGCGGGTGGATCACGAGGTCAAGAGCTCAAGACCATCCTGGCCAACATGGTGAAACCCTGTCTCTACTAAAAATACAAAAAATTAGCTGGGCGTAGTGGCGGGTGCCTGTAGTCCCAGCTGCTTGGGAGGCTGAGGTGGAAGAATCACTTGAACCCGGGAGATGGAGGTTGCAATGAGCGGAGATTGTACCACTGCACTTCAGCCTGGTGACAGAGTGAGACTCCATCAAAAAAAAAGAAAGAAAAGACTGTCCCTCAGTTCAGAACCATGTTCTAAGTGATGTTTTCACTTCAATAAATAAAAAGATAAATGAAAAGGAAATGTTTGTCCTATATAAAAGACTTTTCTTTGGGGGTGATGAAAAGGTTCTGAAATTAGATAATGATGACGGATGAACATCTCTGAATATACAAAACCCCACCAAATCCTATAGGGTCTTGCTGTCGCCCAGGCTGGAGTGCAGTAGTGACATCATGGCTCACTGCAGCCTTGACCTCCAGGGTTAAGCAATACTCCCACCACAGCCTCCCAAGTAGCTGGGACCACAGGTGCATGCCACCATCCCTGGATAATTTTTAAAAATTTTTTTGTAGAGACGTGCTCTCGCCATGTTGCTTAGGCTGGTCTTGAACTCCTGGGCTCAAGTGATCCTCCTGTCTTGGTGTCCCAAAGTGCTGGGATTACAGGCATGAGCCACTGGCCATGGTCCAAACTGTATACTTTAAAAGGGTAAATTTTATGGTATATGAATTACATTAAATAAAGCTGTAATTAAAGTAGTTCTAGTTGGGCAAGGTGGCTCACGCCTGTAATCCCAACACTTTGGGAGGTCACGGCAGGTGGATCATCTGAGGTCAGGAGCTCAAGACCAGCCTAACCAATATGGAGAAACCCTGTCTCTACTAAAAATACAAAAAATTAGCCGGGTGTGGTGGCGCATGCCTGTAATCCCAGCTACACAAGAAGCTGAGGCAGAATAGCTTGAACCTAAGAGGCAGAGGTTGCAGTGACCTGAGATTGTGCGATTGCACTCCAGGCTGGGCAACAAGAGTGAAATTCCATCTCAAAAAAAAAAAAAAAAAAAAAAAAAAAAAAGTTTGAGTTCTTCCAAGTTCTCCATAATTAAAAGCTACTTTAGCCCTGGTGAGGTGGCTCATGCCTATAATCCCAGCACTTTGGAAGGCCAAGGTGGGAGGATTACCTGAGGTTGGGAGTTCGAGACCAGCCTGGCCAACATGGTGAAACCCTGTCTCTACAAGCATTGCTTGAACCCAGGAGGGGGAGACTGCAATAGCCCAGACCGTGCCACTGCACTCCAACCTGGGCTACAGAGTGAGACGCTGTCTCAAAAAAAAAAAAAAAACCAAAAAAAACACAAAAAGCCACTTTAAATAATGAATTAATGATTAACAAATGTTTCCCTAAACTGCAATCAACCCACCCAAATAACAGAGTGCCTAGAATTAAATTAATTAGTGTTTAGAGCCCAGCCATGAAAAGACATTTCATGCAATGTAATATCAACATCTTTCAGCTTCACCTTTACTGCACTATATAGACGCTTCTTGACTTATGATGAGATTGTCAGGATAAACCCATCTTAAGTAAAAAAAAAAAAAAAAATACATTTACCATCTGGATAAACCCATTGTAAAGTCGAAAAGATCCCAATGCAAACCACCCTTTGATTTAGTTGGGACTGTCTGTGTAAGTTTAGCATAGCAGAGACAGACTAAGTTAGAACTCATAAGCTCCATCATCTTGACCCCTGTGTTCAGTTGACCCCTGTGTTCAGTTAGATGGCCTCTCTGTGCCCAATTACTTCCTTTTGACACTAGAAGATAGATGCCATACTACCTAGGGATACTCAATTTGATCATTTACATAATCAAACAAAATAAGTGCCCCTCGTACACCATGCTAACCATTACACAAAATAGGAGACAGGAGCTACACAAATTCAAGTTAAACTTCTTGATTTGGGTACTTTCCCACCAATAGCACCATAGCAATATCTACTATAAATCTAAGAAACTGACTTCAGTGTGGTACTTATACATGTACAGAATGCAAACCTAATTACAAATAAAGCACTTAAAACAAAATACTGTACTCAATTCTTTCCACTATCATCATGAAAAGAGAATTCCAGAATGTTTTGACATGAAAACATACCTCTTTTTTCAATGACGTTACTTAGAAACACTACTTTATCTTAATTGACACTATTCTGTATTTGTATTTAGACTTTCTTTTTTTCTTTTTGAGACAGAGTTTCACTCTTGTTGCCCAGGCTAGAGTGCAATGGCACGATCTCGACTCACCACAACCTCCACCTCCCAGGTTCAAGCGATTCTCCTGCCTCAGCCTCCTGAATACCTAAGATTACAGGCATGCGTCACCACACCCGGCTAGTTTTTTGTATTTTTAGTAGAGATGGGGTTTCTCCATGTTGGTTAGGCTGGTCTCGAACTCCTGACCTGAGGTGACCTGCCCATCTTGACCTCCCAAAGTGCCTGGATTGCAAGCATGAACCACTGCGCCCACAAGAGCAAAACTTGGGTCTCAAAGACAAAACAAAATGAAAAACAAAAAAACATCAAATGAGATGTCACACGACGGCATTTTGAAGCGTTATGCAAACGAAAGGCCTATGCATGCACGTATATATGTTATTTCCAATTTTAAAGATTTTTTTTTTGAGACACAGTCTTGCTCTG